TCCGCGAGTCTGAACTGCCGAAGTATGTGTAGCTCAGCGAGGGTGGCGAACTCACCTCTGCAAATATATGGTGAATTTGCCTATTTTAACACAAAATGCAAATCACTCTCTTTTATGAGCAGCTTTTTTTTGGAAGACTGGGTGACTGACGGCATGGGCAAAAGATGCTCTGTGGACCGATATTGACGTTGATTATGTCAGCTCAAATAAAACATGTCATCATAAACGGGCCTGAAATAAACTTCTAGCAGTACCTCTGGTCATGTTCTATCAGCTTTTTTCAGCTAATCTCACCCAGTTCTATTGCAAAATGCTCAGGTCATGAAGACCATAAGGTAAAGCAGTGGTGCTGGCAGTTGCTGCCACTTTATGCTAGTTACAATGAAAAAGCTCACCATGCACAACCGCTGAACCTGGAGGACTTTCGCTGGAAATTTCGCCATGTGTTGTCTCTGCAAATAATATAAAAATGTTATGAGCCCACAGAAGCAATATTTCAGCCCCATGTGGTAACTATTTTTCTGAGAACGGGTTAACCATGCTTAGTCACAAAGTGTGCACGGAAGGTTTATTGGTCTGCTTAGCTTTTGTGGGAAGCACACTTGGCAACGCATTGTGACGGAGGTGTCCAGGCCGCAGGAAAGCTGACTCCTCAAAATGTAAGGAGCAAACTACCCTGTCTCGTAGCTGCCGTGAAGTCTTCCCCTATAGACTTCGGTTATTGCAGAGCCGAACCCAGGCTTCGCGCCTGCAGATAAGGCATGGTGCTATGTGGGAGCCGTGAATACTTACGAAAAGAAAACGTAGCCAAAATGTTCACAAACCGAAGCAAATCAGAGCAAGGACAATTTACAAATGCATGACATAACGCTCCGTGTACATCATGAAGAGTTAAAACACGAGTCTTACGCACAGATGCCGTGCTATATATCTGTATTGTACCACTGATAACCACGCCAATGATCATGACACTAGGCTCCTCAGAGCCAGGCCGGTACAGGTAAATTTGAATATCGTGGGCAATTTTATAATGACAGCACACAACGCTGCGAAATCAACATTACTACTATAGCATCATATTACGCCTCCAGGTGTAGTTTCTTGTGCACATCCAGACAACCATAATAGTCTTAGGTAAAACTAACAAGAGTTAAAAGAAAACTGAACAATGGGGCATGACATCACGCAGCAGGCATGTTACTGACAGCAGCTAAGTCTCACCTTCGAGAGTGGAGGGAAAACCGGTGCAGCGAGAGGCCAGCCGTGCGTGTGTCGCTTTCAAATGCTTCCACGGAGCACCGTTTCCTTCCGTATCGCGCTGTGCTCATCGTCGCACGTTGAGCCCCTTGGACGCAGTAGTGTCCAAGGTCTAAGCGCACGAGTGCCAACTTCCCGCGCAAGTAACATGGCTAATCACGCCCGAGCAAACAAAACTTCCCAAACGGTGTTAACTGCCGCTAAAACAATTCAAAGCGAAGAGCACGTGGAGGCCCAAACACAAGCAAGCAGACGGACGTCAGCAGCGTGTCTTTCCGCGCGCCACGAAGTCTACACAGAACTGCGAATATCGCTATTGCTAGCTGGTTTTTTTGCTAGTGGCGTACAGAGGACGGTAATAAGAAGTATGCATATTATCAGAAAAAACAAAACATTTTTGAATTTTGTAGCGCGACAAATATGAACTGATAATATCTAATAATTATATTTAGCTTGTTTAAAAATACAAATGATTATACCTCTAGTCACAAACTAATTAATTTTAATAACGTTTGTCCCAACCTCTCCTAGTCGCGCTTCAATCGCATCCTTCACGCGACCCTCTAGGCCGATGTCGCTGGCGATTTTTTTTGAACCGCTTTTTGGCCGAAGCTTCGCTACCCATGTGCATATACCTTGACCGGGCTGCTTTTGCCCACATAGCTACCGCGCATGCGCGGCCTTCCGGCCGTGTTGGTAAACAGAGCAGCTCCGCGTGTCGGTCTATATCCATAAGGTGGCGCATAGGTTAAAGAAAGTAGCGCAACGCCACGATGTTCCTGTCGTTTTCTCAGCACCGCCAAGCTGGGACGTTCATATGCGAGAGTGGAGAGGGGATCGGTTGCCAGGGTGGGATGTGAAAAGAAGCATAAAAACAAGTTTGTCCCTTGCGTGGGGGGGGGGGGGGGGGGGGGGGGGGGGGTTCTACAGTATTCCCCGGACTCTTAAAGAAGTTTATATCGGCCAGACCGGTTGCTGCATTAATGATAGGTTACGTGAACACGCGTGTTCAATTAGGGCATTTCTGTCAGGGAATATGGCGGTTCACTGGGACAGATGTGGTTGTTCTCCGGTTTTGGAAGATACCACGGTCCTGGGAAGACACAGTCACCAACGAACTAGGGAGGTAACTGAGCCCTTTACATTTCCAAGTTCAAAGACAAATGTCTCAGCGCGCCTTCAATAGATATTTAAGATTGTGAGTTGGCACTTTTGAGCCGCTTTAACTTGTGACGATCATGTGACGGTCATCTGCCGCGATGTAAGTGTTGTTTGGCTTGACCACACCGTTGGATGTTCCTTTAAAAATAAAGAGTTGACAGGTCAGCCCTCCGTCTGTGTAAGTACATCTTCTCTGTCCTGTGTCCTTGTTCGCGCTGCTTTACCCGTAAACATGCTTCAACTAGCCCAAATTTTAACAGTATTACAACTCATTGTGTAGTTTATTCAGAACGCCTTTGTTTGTCATATATTCGAGGGGTGCAGCGAAGAGCAAACATAACAACGCGTCACAGATAGGTGTAGAAATATGTTATCACGAGCACCTGTTTTTGTGCAATAACCGCCTCCACCGTTCAAAACCACAGCTGTCAAGGTTGCCACGCTCGACGCGCTGCATGCTGGTTTTTCGCTGAACCGGTTGATGTTCGGGCGTGGAAGCATATGGCCGGTGTCTGTACATAAAATTTACGTCGTGAAAATTAATTTTTACAGCTTCATACGAGACAATATTATGTTCGCTGTTTTCTGTAACCATCACCTGGGTTTTCACAGTGTAGAGGAGGAAGCAAAACAATTAAAATTAGCCAAAGAAAAAATATCAGCATGCACCGTTATGGTCAGTCGGCAGCCCTATACGGTTCATAAATGCAGGGCGGCGAGGTGAGAAGGGCGCCTCCGTGGCTGACGTAGATTGGAGCACCTAATCTCCCCGCCTTCTGTTCTTTTATTGTCCTTTCTTTTCTTTTTAAGAACCCAGTACCGTACCCAATGAATGCTGGCGACCGATGACACCGCCTGACAAAGCGTGTCTGGCCAAACGTCCGTACGTTTCGTCTTCCGACCCTTTTGGACGTATTGTTTCTTATCTGTGCATATGTTGGTGTCCTCTTATCCAAACAGTAACCTCAAATGTTCACAGGAAGGTCTCTGTCTGCAGAAAGAAAACTGGCCTCTGTAAAAGCAAAATGTCACCGCAAAGCAAAAAAATCACTCATTGCGAAAACGAACCAGTGATGCGTCGGATTTGTGGCGTCGCATTTTTTTTTTATCTCCAAAACTGTCAGCTTATTTCCAACAATAAATGTAGCAAGATACACAAGTCTAGCAGCCTATCATGATATACATCGCTAAAGTATTTCACTACTGGAATCCAAACAGATTTTGCAAATGCATCTTGGTACATATATAGATACTCAAAAGTGTCCCTAAGATTATCTCGCGATAGGGAAACGGAACAAAAGTCCCGGAACAAATGGTCCCGGAATAAATGCTCCCGGAATTAATGGCCCCGAGTACAAACTAGGAAAAAATGGTCCCAGATGAATATCGGTTCTGCGTTTTCGGATAAATCCGATAAAATCCAGAAACACTCTCCAGTAAAAATTTTACCGGTTCGAACTTGACCGGTTTTAATATTTTCTTGGAAGTTCAGAGATGTTTTACGCTGATATTCTTTTTTATTTTAACTTTTGTTCTGCAAGCGTCACAAAATAGTATATTTTCAACCCGTAGAAAAAATGATGTAGCTTCTACGGTGATCTATGTTAACGAGGCAATCGAATGCAGCTCGCCTATATAAAAAAAATACTTAAGCGAATTCACTAACAGTTTTTTTTTTTTACGTTCCATTTCTTCCCACTAAACCCCGATAAACTCCGAATTGGGTGTTTCCTAAGAAAGAGCTCCGTATAACTCCGAATTTGTGATAAAAAATAAACTACGAAAAGCACCCTCCGCTTTTGCAAAAAAATATATTCCGAAAACGCAGAACCCTACATAACCCACACGGAGCTTGTCCCATTGTTGCATAGTGACCTTGTCTCTAAGGTGAGATCGTGGGCGGAGGGGAGGGGGGGCTTGGCACGCTTGCCTTTTTTAGTTACCTAGACTTTGCCGGAGAGTAACCAATGGCAGTGAACCTTGTCGAATGCGATAAGCGCTACTCTGGTTTTGACGATTCAGCTTCAGTTAGCGAGTGACACCTGAAGTTACCGGACCTGCCACGTTTTCTGACGGTCTCTCATTATATTAAGGTAAGTGATTTTTTTACGTTGTATTAGACTGCAGTATTATATAAACATTTTACTAAGCGTTGCACTCAAAATATATTTGATACTATGATTAGAGCTTTAGAAAGTTAATTGATTGTACCAAATTGGGTTGAACCTCAAACAATCTGAAAGTGAAAAGTATACAGAGGACAGAGAATATTTTGATATTTTAAATAATAGTTTTCCGTGTATTTTCCTATTGAATAATATATGTTTTAGTTTAGCGCTCTATACTATGAAATGACGCCTTAAAACATTGAACTCTAACGAACAGCCACCCCGATATCGTCCCAGTGCACTATCCGCTCGTGTTTCTTATAATTCATATACGTTTGTCTACACACCAAATCAAGGTAGTAATTCCATAAACAATTGAAACGAGTATCCTGATGTCGACATATTTGCGTATTGTAAGACATCTCCCAGAGAGGCCTTAGTTTAATTACTTTTTAATTACTTTTACTTTTCAGGATGGAAGTTATCAAGTCCAATAAGGGCGGGCGAAAACTGTGTTTCGGGGGCTTCATGAAAACGCGTCACAAAGACATAACGACAGGCATTCGCTGGCGATGCGCCAAGCGCGGTCAATGTTGCAAGGGATCGATTATCACTAGTGAGAATTCTGAAGACGTTATAGTAAGTTCTGAGCACGACCACCCTCCCAGTGAGAGTGCAACTAACGTCGCGAAGACATGTATCGTCATGAAGGAAATGGCCTTGATGTCAAATGAGAAGCCTGCAACTGTCGTCACACACTTGATGCAAGATCTTCGGGACGAAAGAAGGACCATGATGAAAAGTGAAGACAGCCTGAAGAGGACCACCCGCAAACAGCGATGTTTAGCTTACCCTCCAAACCCCAGCTCTCTTCGAGATCTTGTAATCGACGCTCTGTGGACGATGACAGCGGGGCATGTACCTGAGAGGTTCCTCTTTTACGAAAATGGACCCGAGGCTGATGCAAGGCTCTTGGTGTTGGCGAGCACCCCATGCTTGAGACTACTTTCCGAAAGCAGCACATGGTTCATGGATGGCAACTTTGACTAAGCTCCGAAGGGATTTCTTCAATTGTACGTTATTCTTGTACCCCTGGGAGAATGCACGGTGTCTGTAGTCTACGTTTTTATGACAAGGACGGCTCAAGAGGCGTACGAAGAGCTTTTCAGTGCTTGTTTCGGAATGCGAGTCGCTCGGGCTGAGCTCGGGTCCCAATATCGTCATGACCGATTTCGAGAAAGGAACGATGAACGCTGTTAAGGCAATCCTTGGTGAGGACACACGCACTAAAGCATGCTTCTTTCATCTATGCCAAAGCACCTGGAGGAAGATCCAGGAACTTGGATTGGTTACTTGTTACAAAGGGGGCGACTCGTTTCGAGTCTTTGTAGGGATGCCCGATGGTCTTGCTTTTTTGCCTGTGGATGATGTCGAGGACGGAATGCGCTTGCTGCGTGCAATCATGCCGCATCACGCCGCCGAGCTCTTTGCCTACTTTGATGGTTGTTATGCGACTGGAACTTTTCGCCAACTCACACGAACTGATGGCAACATTCATCTGCGTCGACTACCCGCCAGGTTCCCCCCTGAAGTATGGAACGTGCACGATGCCACAACAGAAGACAGTCACCGCACCAACAACCACTGCGAGGCATGAAACTGGAGGTTCAGCAGCATAGTCGGACATAGCCACCCGACTGTATGGAAGGCGATCGACGCCCTACGGGCAGAAGATTCGTCTGTCTTCGTAAGAATTGCTCAGGAGTCTGTCGGAGCACCACCGAAGAAGAGGACGAAAACAGCGCTGATGCAGATGCAGCGCCGACTGCAGACTCTCTCCGCCCAGTACGAACGGGGAGCAAAAACGATCGAGGAATTCCTTCGAGGTGTCAGCCGCACTATTCGGTGTTGAGCACCAGGTGTGATATGTCGTGCACATCCTTATATGTTTTGTCAATAAATTGTGTGATTTCTGAACATCTTGTCATGAAAAATATTTAAATCTAGGTAGTTTGGTTGCTAATCTGGCTAGAGAGACATTGAGGAACACCAATTAAGCATGCAAACCTAATGCACCTATAAAGGCAACGAGCTCCTCTCGGTATGTGTGCTACCACCACGCGTCATAACGAGACGGAAGTGTTTCATGACCAGAGCAGTATGACTACAGGTGCTCATTTTTTGTTTCAAAAGCCCACTTGCATCATAACTATCGTAAAGCCCCTTATACGAAAATAGTAGTAACTCCTATAATATTATATAAGGTCACTAAATTAACAGTACAAAAAGAATTGTTGGACAGTATTCATTTCCAAAATATTCCTGCGATTTTGTATAAACTGAAGTTTAATACCCGACCACTCTTCGAAGTAACCGGCTTCAAAATATAGACAAAATCCTTGATTCCCTCAGGAAACCATTGACTGCATAACGGATGAAGTGTATTGCTAGGTATATCTTTTTTCAAAATGATCTGCTCACGGGACCATGTTTACCTACCTTGGACTTGGGACCATTTGTTCCCGGACCATTACTTCCAGGACCATTTTTTCGGGGACTATTTGTTCCTACACCCCTCGCAATACTTTCATGTCAAGATGTTGCCCCGATTGTTATTCCATATTCATTTTATACTGCTGCACACGCCGGTTACTTGTTCACACATAACCACTGTATCCCTGTGTGGAGTCTGATTTTTATGGCCTTTACTGCAGCAAATAATAGCAGTTGACAAGAGCAAACATGTTTTGGTCTTCTACATTAAAATATGTTGTGTTTTTTTTTCTTTTACCTAACGCAGGACAAGAACATTTTACCGGCATCATGTGTCTTCTACACGAGCAAGAGCTGGACGATGCATACTTTCTTTACCTTATCGTGGATCGTGAGTGCTTGTAATCTGTTTTAATGCAGAAGACGGGTTGTGCATGTTGTTGGAAGCAATTTGGCTGTTCGGCATTTAGTACGAATGCAAGGCCTCCGACACGCTGGTTGCTCTGGGAAGGCTTTTCCTCGGGTTGAGCGACACAACTCCAAGGACAGTCGTAATCAAATATTTGAACGAAGTTTGCAGGTATGTGGTTGAAGAGATGTTTTGTGAGCCGTTTTAAAAGTGTATAGTGCACATTTCTCGCCAGTATTATCAGGTTCCTTTTTATTTTGCTTACAGAATGAATGGTAGAAGGTTTTATGGGGGTATGTTTTTGTTTTCTTTCTTTAACTCTTGGGCACTTTCTCTGATAACGTTTCTGACCACCTGGAGGCAACGTGCTTAGAATTTAACTATACAAGTTCCTTATTCATAGTCGTCTTTCTGAACTTTATAATTTTCCATGTACGTGAGCAAGAGAATAGCGTCTTCAACTGAAATATTTGTTTTTTTTTTTGCCGTAGACTGCAAGTTCATTCTCTGATGGTTTTCACTACATGCTTGCAGGTAACATTCTTTGTCAGGAAATGGCACACATAGTATTTTTCGATTGTCGATTAGGGTTCAATAATGTTCAATTTGACATATTCTAATTGTTGTCATAATAAGCTGCACTTACTGAAATACTGCTGTGGTTTGTCAAGGGCTAGACCACCTGCCTCTACCCTGCTTCCAATTAGTAAACACATGCAAATAAGAAGAAAATTGATAAGCGAAGCGTGTTTTCTGCAATCCTCTGAGACAAACAAGACATGTCACTTGATCGCCAAACAGGAAAGCTCCACATCCTTCATTGGTGGCAACCCATGATGCTTGTAATGGTTCAGCCGTGCAGTACGATGCTCGGGGCCACTGCTTGCTCATTTAGAGTTCGAGAAAGACGGGCGCCGAAGCACTACCCAATTTCCCTAGGGGTTGTGATGTGGCTTGCAAGGAGCTCTTTTGTATTACTTCATGAAGCGAGCTGTGTTCAGTGTGACTCATTATTTTTTTATCACGTGCCTCGTACGTGGCACGGACCCCGAGCCATGCGGGTTCGCCCGCCCACGTCTGGCTGTGCGTGGCTTTCCCGTGTCCGAGGAAAAGGGCATCCTGGTGGTTGAGCCGATCCCGGGGTAGGTTTGGACCCTTCGGGGCCCCCGGGTGAGGCAATACACAACTTCGGCTCCCGCTTCTCGTAGACGGGAGTCCTGGTAAGGCCCGGCCAGGATGATTCAGTCTAGTCGACTTTTCTTCTACTATCCACTCCATTCTTTCTCCTTTACCTTTCCTGTTTCTTTTACTTCTCTCTCATTTCTCTTACTCCTTTTTCACCCCTCTTTGACGGCAAGGGCTAACCTTGGTTGGCAATAGACCTCTGTCTTGACCCACACTTGGGTATAGTTTCCCGGCAGCACTGTTAGTGTAACGTCTCCAGCCAAGCTCATCTTGTTATGGTGCGTTACCTAACCCCTTGTTGGGCTCGGTGGTGAACGGTGCACCGCGGATTCCGAACACTCTTTGCCCTTCTATGGCGCCTTACCCATCTAAACCCCGTTCAGCTCACGCCCTTAAAAGGCGTTGCCTTGAACACAAAACCATTGACAAAGATCCCGAGTGAGAATCGTTCACAAAGTTTTTTTGTTGTTCACTCTCTTGATGAACACAAGACAGTTGCAAAGATGTCACCCTTCATTGTAGCCAAAGTTCTAGAGCACCTTGTAGGGGTTTTCTACAAGGCAAAAAACTGTACTCTGGAGATTTCCTTGTGGAGGTAAATACAAAAAAACAAAACACAAAGCAAAGCACTCCTCAACCTGACCACCATTGTTGACGTAAAGGTGTCAGTGAGTCCTCACCGCACACTTAACACCATTCGTGGAGTCCTCTCTGAGGACGACTTTTTGGACAGAAGCGAAGAAGAACTCCTGGAGGGACTCAAAAGTTCCGGCGTTGTCGCTGTTAAACGCATAATGTTTCGGAAAAATGGCGAACAGGTTCCTTCTAAACATGTTATTCTTACTTTTGAAAAACACACACTCCCAGACACCGTCAAGGCAGGATACCCGAACTGTCGCATTCGCCCTTACGTCCCCAACCCTCAGCGGTGCTCCCGTTGCCAACGTTTTGGTCACGGAGCACGCAGCTGCCGAGGGAAGGAGACATGTGCAAAGTGTGGCAGTCAGGGACATGTTTCTGACATATGTGAGGAGACTGTGGCCCACTGTGTTAATTGCGGTGGACCACACCCCGCTTACTATCGTACCTGTCCCTCGTGGAAACAAGAAAAAGACACCCTTACCATTAAAGTGAATGAGAAGATTTCGTATTCGGAAGCGAAAAAAACGTTTCTCCTTTGCGTCAAAGGGGAGTTTTGCCGACGTGGTGCGCAGGGGCCCTCGCCACGCTCGGAGTCGAGGGCCACCCAGGTCTCTCCCGAGATCTTGGCGTCCGACCTTAGGGCCCCAGCTCCCCGACAGGGGCAGCAGCAGCTTCCCCCAGCCCCTGGTGGTGGCACGCGTGCTGCCCCTCCATCCAAGGACAGGCCGTCAGCAGCCGCGCCTTCCCCCTCTCCTAGGTCCCCTCCTAGGGAGGAGCGAGTTTCTCGCTCATGCTCGGTGGAGAGGGTCCACCTACCGAAGGAGCAGCATGGTATCCATGCAGCTCCTGTGAAAGGAGGTGTCAAGACGAGCTTGGGTGACCCCTCGCCCAGTTCGTCCGCCACTCCTCCATCCGGTCGTGGCCGGGGTTTTCCCCCGCGCGTGCCAGGCCGCACCAGCTTCGTCATACTCCATCCATCGGGCACTTCCCAGGACATGAAGATACCAACGGAAGCTGACAGTCAGTCTACACCTGGGTCCGACCAGGATAATATGGAATGGGAGACAGCTTCTCGCAAATCTAAAAAGAAGCAAGCTGTAGTAGCGCCCAAGTGATAACCCCAGTAGCTGCCGTATTGTGGTCACATATTCCACCTAGCTCGAGTTGGCTCTCAATAGCTTTATTTATTTTGCTAGGTTTTATCTCGTTATATTTACATATTCACACACTTTTTTAATAGATGACGAAGTTACATTTTATTCAATAGAACTGTCGCGGTATTTTAAGAAATATTGATGATGTCAATCATTTCATGGATGAGCTTCGACCCATCGCTCTTGCCTTGCAAGAAACCGATCTTCACACTAATTCTTTTAACATTTTAAGGCGCCATCAGGTTTTCCGGAAAGATCGTCCCGCTTCCACTCCTTCAGGTGGCGTTGCAGTAGTTGTGCAGAGTGGAGTCGCTTGCTCTCACGTTCCACTGCGCACACCTCTGGAGGCTGTTGCAGTGCGTCTCCTCGTGGACCGCCTTGTAACACTTGAATGTTCCTTTAAATCTTCAAGAGCTGCAGGGACTTGTAGGACAGCTTCCTCAACCGTTTTTAATTTTAGGTGATTTTAACGCTCATCATCCCATGTGGGGTAGTACCCGTCAGGACTCCCGTGGTGATGTAATTGAACGTCTCTTATTGTCTTCTGGGCTATGCCTTCTTAACGGGAGAGGGCCAACTTTTTTTAGTGCGGCACACAACTAATTCACATCCATTGACCTTTCAATTGCTTTACGTTCATTACTTCCTTGCTTCTCCTGTAAGGTTCTTCATAACCCTTTTGGAAGTGATCATTATCCAGTTGTTTTAGAAAGTACCGTTTCATTGCCTAATCTTTTAAAGCGGGTTCCTAGATAGAAGTTAGAAAAGGCAGACTGGGCACTTTTTGATCTTCACTCCACTTTAGATCCTTCGCTCCTTTCTTCTATGTCCCCCGAAAACGCTACACTTTATGTTACTGAGCAGATACTAAAGGCTGCACAGCCGTCCATTCCCCAAACATCTGGTAATATACCCAAAAAATGTAAACCTTGGTGGAATAAGGAGTGTGCTACAACCCGGGCGGACCAAAATAGGGCGTGGGGCAGATTTCGC